AATAGAAACTTCCAAAACTGAAAAGCAAAGAGAAAAAAAGACTGGAAAGCAACAGAACAGAATTTCCCGAAACTGTGGGACAACTACACAAAGTATAACATACACATAATGGGAATACTAGAAAAAGAAGAAAAAGAAAAAGGAAGAGAATATTTGAAGGAACAATGACTGAGAATTTCTCACAATTAGTGTCAGACACCAAACCACAGATCCAGGAAGCTTAAAGAACACCAAGCAGGATAAATACCAAATAAACTATACCTAGGCATGTGATATTCAAACTGCAGAAAATTGAAGAGAAATAATCTTGAAAAAAGCCAGAGGAAATAAAACGCCTTACTATACAGGAGCAAAGATAAGAATTATGTCCGACTTCTCCTCAGAAACCATGCAAGCAAAAAAAGAGTGCAGTAAAATTTTTGAAGTGTTGAGGGAAAAAACCCCACCAAGAGTTCTAGAGTTCTAGAGTTCTCTACTCCTTAAAATTATAATCCAAAAGTAAAGGAGTGATAAAGACTTTCTCAGACAAACATTGAAGGAATTTGTTGCCAGTAGAACTGTCTTCAAAAATGTTTAAAGAAGCTCCTCAGAGAAACGGAAAATGATAGAGACCGGAAACTCAGATTTGCGTAAAGAAGAGAATTGGAAAAGAAATAAGTGAAGGTAAAAGGAAAACCTATATTTTTCTTAGTTGATCTAACAGAATTGAATGACAGCAATGATACAAGGGAAAGGAGGGAAGAATTAGGAATATTTTGTTATTATAAAGTACTTACACTGCCTATCAAGTGGTACAGTGTTGTTTGAAAGTCGATTTGGATAAGTGGTGAATGTATATTGCAAACTCTAGGGCAACCCCTAAAAAAGAGTTAAAAAAAAAAAAAAGTATTATTGACATACCAAGAAAGGAGAAAAAAGGAATCTTATAAAATACTCAATTCAAATCACTAAAGGCTGAAAAAGAACAGAAACAGAACACGGGCTGCAAATAGAAAACAGTAACAAATATGGTAGATATTAATCCAGCTATATCAATGATCACTTTAAACGTCAGTGGTCTAAATAAACCAATTTAAAGGCAGAGATTGTCAGAGTGGGTTAAAAAAGAAGACCTAACTCTGTTATCTACAAGATATCCAGTTTAAATAGAAAAACATATAGACTAAAAATAAAGGGATGGAGAAAGATGCACCATGCTGACACTAATCAAAAGATAGTGGGAGTAGTTATATTAATTTTAGATGGAGCAGACTTTAGAGAAAGTAAAGTAATCAGGGATAAAGAGGGATATTACATAAAGGAGTCAGTTCTCCAAGAAGACATAATAATCCTTAACATTTATATGTGTAACAACAGAGCTTCAAAATACATGAGGCAAAACTGGTAGACCTGCCAGGAGAAGTGGATAAATCCACTATTATAGTTGGAGACATCAAAACCCCTCTATTAGAAATGGACAGATTCAGCAGGCAGAAAATCAGTAAGGACATAATTGAACTCAACAACACCATCAATCAATTGACATCAACTACTTGATACAACAATACCAGAGTACACGTTCTTTACAAGTTCACATGGAACATTCACCAAGATCAGGTTCTGGGCCATAAAACACACCTTAACAATTTAAAACATCATACAATGTTTTTATACATTATACAATGTCTGCTCTCAGACCACAGTGGAATTAAACTAGAAATCAATAATAGCAAGATTTAAAAAATCTCCAAATACTTGGAGATTAAACGATACATTTCTAAATAACACATCAAAGAACAAATTTCAAGAGAAGTTAATAAGTTAAACTAAACAAATGAAAACACAACTTATCAAAATTTGGGGATACAGCAAAAGCAATGCTTAAAGGGAAATATATATCATCTAATGTATAAGAAAAGAAAAAAGATCTAATCAATAATCTAACATTCATATTAGGAAATTAGAAAAAGAACAGATTAATTCCAAAGTAAGCAGAAGAAAAGAAATAATACAAATTAGAGCAGAGATCAGTGAACTGGAAAACAGAAAATCACTAGACAAAATCAACAAAACTAAAAGCTGGTTCTTTGAAAAGATTAATAAAACCGATTAGCTACACTGAGAAGAAGAGAGAAAACACAAAATACTAATATCAGAAACAAAATGGGACATCTTTATAGAACCAATTTATATTAAATGGATAATAAAGGAATAATATGAATAGTTTTCTGTCCTCAATTTTGATAAACTAGATGAAATAGACCAATTCCTTGGAAGACTCAGTCTGTCAAACTCACACAAGAATAGACAATCAGAATAGACCTATATTTATAAAGAAATTGAATCAATAGTTAATATTTTTCCAAAATAGAAAACGCCACACCCAGGTGGATTCACCTGTGAATTCTAACAAACATTTAAGAAAGAAATTATACCAATTATCTACAATCTCTTCTAGAAGATAGAAGGAGAGGGAGGACTCTCTAACTCATTCTGATGCCAACCGAATACCAAAACCAGACAAAGACATTACAAGGAAAGAAAACTAAATACCAATATCTTGCATGAACATAAGTGCAAAAATCCTCAGCAAAATGTTAGCAGAAAGAATCTAACATATATGAAGAATTAGACTACAACTCACTACAACTGTAGAGTGGGATTTATCCCTGGTATTCGAGGCTAGTTCAACTTTACAAAATCAATTATTGCAATACATCACATCAACAGGCTGAGGAAGAAAAATCAAATGAACATTTCTATAGATGTAGAAAAGTTATTTGACAAAATACAGCTCCTATTCATGATAGAAACTCTCAGCAAACTAGGAATAGAGGGGAACTTCCTCGACTTGAAAAAAACTGTCTACAAATAAACCTACAGCTATCATCATACTTAATGATGAACAACTAGAAGCTTTCCCACCAAGATCAGGAGCAAGGCAAGGATATCCCCTCTCACCATTCCTTTTCAACATCGTACTGAAATTCCTAGCGGATTAATAAGACAAAAGGAAATAAGTATTTTGATTGGGAAGGACCTAATAAAACTTTCTTTGTAGATGACATAATTGTCTGTGTAGAAAATCTGAAATAATAAACAAAAAACTCCTGGAACTAATAAGTGATTGTAGAAAAGTTGCAGGATTCAAGGTTAATATACAGCAATCCATCACTTTCCTATATACCAGCAATGAACAGGTGGAATTTGAAATTAAATACACAACCATTTATCTTAGTGGCCCCAAAAGGAAATACTCAGTTAAAAATCTAACAAAATGCGTATGAGATCTATATGAAGAAAACTACAAAACTCTGATGAGCAAAATCAAAGAACTAAATAAATGGAGAGATAGTACATGTTCATGGGTACAAAGACTCAATATTATCAAGATGTCAGTTTTTTTGCAATTTGATCTATTCATTGAATGCAATCCCAGTCAAAAACCCAGCAAGTTTTTTGTAGATATTGGTAAAAAGTTTATTTCTAAACTTTTCTATGGTTTATATGGAGAGGCAAAAAGATCCAGAACAGCTAATGTAATATGAAGGAAAAGAACCAAGTTGGAAGACTAACTCTACTCAACTTCGAGACTTATTGTAGAGCTATAGTAATCAAGACAGTGTGATATTGGCAAAAGAATAGACAAATCAATCAATGGAAGAAAACAGAGAGCCCGGAAACAGACCAATGTAAATACGGTCAACTGGTTTTTGTCAAAGGAGTGAAGGCTATACAATGAAACAGAGATAGTCTTTTCAATAAGTGATGTTGGAACAACTGGACATCCACATGCAAAAACATGGATCTAGACACAGACCTTACATTCTTCACAAAAATTAACTCAAAATGGATCATAGACCTAAATGTAAAACACAACTATAGAACTATTGAAGACAACATAGGAGAAAACCTAGATGACCTTGGGTTGTGGTTACTTTTTAGGTACAAGAACAAAGGCATTTTCTATGAAAGAAAGAATTGATAAGCTGGACTTCAGTAAAATTAAAAACCTGCAATATTTCTTATATGGATATGCTCTTTCTAAAATGCAAATTTACCAGCTGTCTGAAACCTCTGTAACTTCATATGGCACCTTTTGCCTTAAAGGTGTATCCCTCTACTCCAATTTTATTCAGTATTTAAAAAGGAGATCAGAGACTTTTTCCTCTGATAGGCCTTCCCTGATGCACTCACATAGAATTAAATATTTTACCCCTGTTCTACCTCTAGATATTCTTCTAGTGCTTCATCTATCACATTCTATTGCAAAATATTTGTTATATATCAGCCTCCCCTTCTAAACCTGAGTTCCTTGAGGAAATAATACATGACTATTTATCTTTAAATGCTGGTTCTTAATACAAAGCTTGGACATGATAAGTACTCAGTGAGTATTATTCAGCTAAATTATATTATATTGGTCATTGTGATGGTTCTGCTTAAAATGCTTAAAAATGTTTATATTTTACTAAATCTAGGAGAGGCCTTTACATTTTTTTCTCACAATGAAAGCATGAACTGTTTTTATGTTCAGAATTTAAATATCCCTTAAAAAACGATATATTGATATTTTAAATATTAAAATGAATAAGAGAGTTGTAACCTGCAAATATCTTGATATAAATATATAAGATAGGGGATTTGAGTTTTTATGGATACATATATTTGTTAAATCAAGTTCTGATACGGTAATCCTCACCCATGCCTTCAGGCATTTTAGAAACATGTTTAGAAATGTGGCTTACGAGCAAAGGAAATAAAGTGTTATATTTAATCTGACACCTGAAACTATTGAGGAAGTTCAAAACTCGTATGACTGCAACATTTCTATTTTTTTTTTGTTTTGTTTGGCTGTAGGGCATAGGGAAAATTATTCTATAACTTGATTAATCAGTAGCTGATTAAAGAGTTTGTGAGTTCTCTAGGCCCTTCCTTTTCTATATGCAATTGATTATGAAATAAAATGTTTAGTTTTAACTAAAATTCTATTTTAGCTTAACTCTTTTTTTTTCTCCTAGTGTAGTGACTATGACTTGGAATTTGGAACTGAGTGTTTGCAATTGGCTCTAAAATACTGTCACACGAAAGCCAAACTTGTAGAAGGATCACCTGATCTGTGGAAGGTAAGGAAGTTGGCACTTTGCTCTGGGTCTCATCTGTGCTCATGTGTCATTCCTAAAGACACAGTCTGCAAGTACAAACACTTCCCAGGTGCTTTAGAAAATGCAGAAGTAATGTAAAAATACTTGGTTTCATACTGAAACTGTGAATATTTCTAAGAAAAAAGGTGTGTGTTTGTGTGCATACATTAAAGGAATTAAGAGTCTCATTGGGTTTTCTGAGCCATCAAAGTATAGTATCATTTCTGTTGCTTGGTTTCAAGAAATTCACTTTGAGATAATTTATGCAAACAAATTCCATTTTGGCCAAAAAGATTGTTTTAGTCACATTTTTCCCCCTTGTTCTCTGTATATATCCTTTTACTTGGTTGCTTTATCCTCAACTGGATTGAAGATAAAACTCTGCTTCCCACAATAACAACATTTCCTTCAAGGCCCTGGGGTGGTAACTCCAACTTGTCTGGGTTGAAAGAATATCTACCACAGTTCTGGCCCAGTGCAGTGAGAGTCTGGACCCACTTGTTGCAGAGGAACTAGACTCTTTCCTATGGCAAGTCTTCTAATGGCAAACTTTTTTCTTTTGGAGGGAATGGAGTAGTTGTAGCACTATCATGCTACAGCTTCCTGTTGAGGTAGGGGTGTTTTACAGTGTGACTCTCCTTTGTTTTATTAGGTAGATTTCTGAAGTAGAATTGTAGGGCCATTTCATAATTTTGAAATAAGTATTGCTGCTTTTGAAATTTTGGATGAAATCTATAAAGCACCCACCTAAATTTGATTAGTAAAGATTCATCCTAACTCTAAGATTATATTGATCCAAAAGGATGTTTCCTCATTGACTTTAAAACAAAACAGA